CTGCCCAGGAGGGCCAGAGATGCCATTCCAGAGCTGTGCAGCACTCTGTGGAGCAGGCTGCCTAAGAGTGAGTACGGAAGCCCTTCCACGTGCAGCCTTTCTCTCTCTTTTCTGTGTCTCCTCACACAGAAGTCCTTAAGTTTAGGCATTAGGTTATTGTGTAATTCAAATGCTCTTTTCTATACCTCCCTTGTCTGGGTATAACCCTTGTTCTAAGAATCTCCTATCTCAATGCTGTCTTATCACTGCTCCCCAATTGTCCCTGACTATGCCAATAAAGCAGCTTACAGCTGAGCAGAGGAGAGAATAGGACTAGATTTCCTACCAGCCAGGGGAGAAGGAGATAGAGCAGGAAGTAGGGGATTGAGTCACAGGAGAAGTCCAAGAGCCATCAGGAGAAGGAGCTGAATTAGGAAGCTACAAAGTGCAAACATCTTTGGCATGCATGCTCAGAGAAAGCCAAATTAGCTTAGAGGGCTAAGGGCAGAGCTAGGACTGCTCAGTTCTTACGCTGTAAAGCTTATTATTAAATAAATATAAAAGAATCTCAATTATGTTGAGTTAAGAGAGAAACTAAGAAACAAACACAGTTTTATAAAAATAACCATAACACCTAAGTAATGTAAATTCATTATTGAACAAGGGTAATGTGAGAGTGGCTCATGGGACATTTTTAATGTCTGGAAATATGTTAGATGAGCTGGTAGGGGATTATGCTGCCAAAACCTGTTGGGAGGCATCAGGGATTCTGGAGAACTTGCTCAGTGCTCAGGTGAGGCCAGGAGACAAGGGTTCCAACCTTCCAGTCTGACTGAAGCTGCGAAAACCTGCTCTGTGATGCCTTCTTTCCACTCCACATTCCCATTTGAGTAATAATAAGCAGCTCACGGGTGCACAGTGCTGTTAGCTTACACATGGAGCATACCACCCCATAATGGGTCTCAATAGGAACCCGGGGAGATCAAATAAAATTGGACAATGTTCCTGCCTTCTGTGGTCTCAGGCTGCTCTGAGCACGGGCTCAGGCCAGGAGTGCTTTGAATTCCTATGTCCCCCCTAAGGCATGGGCAGAGTCTTCAGGCTCATGTTCCTGTGGCCTTTCCCATCCAGGGGCTGGGGACATGTGGAGAGCCTACTTCTGACATGAAAGAGGCCAACTGGAAAAACTCAGACAAATACTTCCACGCTCGGGGGAACTTTGACACTGCCCAAAGGAGGCCAGGGGGAGTCTGGGCCGCTGAAGTCATCAGGTACCACCGACTGAAAGGACCAGGAGTGGGTGGCAGGGCTCACTCTCCTAAGAGATGAGGTGAGCCTCAGGTAAGGTCTTGCCAGTCTGGACTCCTCCTCCTTTTGCTCATGCTCTGTTCCTGCTTGACATAGACACTGGGCTGCGCTCAGAGCCAGCAGGCAGCTCGACTGGCCAGGGGCAGGCCTGCTTCTCTGGTGAGTTGATACTCAACTCACAAAAGATGATCAGCCTGGCCTACGCAGGACAAGGTCTCCACAGGTCAAGATTTCAACCCCTCCTTCCTGGCCCTTCCTGGTTTCCTGCTGAAGCCACCCAATGAGAAGGGCAGTCCTGGGAGAAGAGACTGTCCACAGCTCCGTGACTGATCTCTGTGTCTGCTTCTCCTAGTGATGCCAGAGAAGGCTTTCAGAGTCTCACAGGCCATGGACACGAGGACACGTGGACACAGATGGGGCCACAGCGCAAGGCCCAATCACTACAGGCCTGCTGGCCTGCCTGGCAAGTACTGATCATCCTTCTGTCAGCTTCAGGGGGCTGTGCTGTGGGCCCTGCAGATAGGTCACGCGGTACTTCAGTTTTCATCCCTCGTGGGTGAGGATAACCTATGGTGTGTGTGTAATAAAGTCGTAAGTGATGAATATTTCTGTTTAGGCTCAGGTCACGCATGCTCAGCAGTCACAGCAGATAGATAGCTCTGATGACTGCCCCACTCTTCATGCATGCTCACTCAAGTCCTCAAGCCTCTGCAGTTACGGGGTTACTGTTTCCAGGCCCTTCCGTGTCCTGACCCCCACCCCAGTGTCTATTCTGTCCCAGCACTCTTTCTTCTTTTCTTCGTGCCTTAGTCTGATTTTTCTCTGCCTCTGTGGGCAGAGGACACAACTGTTGGATGATTCTAGTGGTGAATGCTGCCTTAGCCACTGCCGCCTTGATACTCTACCGTCACAGCAACACCTTCAAGTCCAACTGTCCACCAGTTATCCAACTACCCATTACAGCAGAGGAGTAACTCACCATCTCCCAATGTAATGTTTCCATATGTGTGTGTACAAGCGTGCATGTGTGTGTATATTACTGCCTGTGCAGATGGATGTGTTTGTGTCTGTCGGGGGCAGGAGGATCACTTCATCCTTTGTTCTTTCAAGCACTGTCTGCCTTCTTTTTTATTCAGGGTTTTTCAGTGGCCTGGAGCTCTCTGGACTTTCAGGTCAGCTAGGCTGGCTGGACAGTGAGCCCCAGACCTGCCTGCCTCTTCCTCCCCAGTGCTGATCACATGGATGTTGGGGGTTGATCTTAGATTCTAGGACTTGCACCCCAAGTCCATCACCCACTGTTCCATCGCCCCAGGTATTGTTTCCTTTTTTATTTATTTTATGTGGCAGTTTTGGGTTCAAATTCAGGGCTTGCCTGAACACAGTCACGCCTTCAATTCATCTCTGTTAGCAAAGGTCTGAACTGCCTTGCTGCCTGGAACAGTTGTTTTGTTAGCATGTTTTGCTCTCATTGGCCACCAGGTGGATAGATGGAGCACTAGACTGTACGTGGATTGTTTCTGGGTGAGATTTGCATTTGAATTTGTGGACTCAGCAAAGGAGATTTTCCTCTTTTGTGTGTGGGCATTAACTAAGCCAGTGAGAGCCTGAGCCCTCGTCTGTCTAGGTCTCTAGGGAGACAGGGAGAGAAGGAGGGGATTCTTTCCAATGTTAACAATGAAAGACAATTTCATGGCTTCAATTCATCTGCCACATGATATCGACGAATGGAGCTACTTGCCTTTTTTGTTTTGTTTGTTTTGTTTTGGTTTGAGATAGTTTTTCTGGATAGTCCTGGCTATCTTGGTACTCACTCTATAGACTAGGCTAGACTTGAACGCAGAGATCTGCGTGCCTTTGCCTCTTGAGTGCTGGGATTAAAGGTGCACGCCACCACACCCAGATACTATTTGCCTTAAAAAAAAGAATTATTTATATGAGTATATAATTACTTATAAGAGTATGAGTGCTCTATTTGCATGTACACCTACATGCCAGAAGAGGGCATCAGATCTCATTATAGATGACTGTGAGCCATCATGTGGTTGCTGAGAATTGAACTCAGGACCTCTGGAAGAGCAGACAAGTGCTCTTAATCTCCAAGTGCTCTATTTCTCCAGCCCATTATTTGCCTTTTTAATATTTGGTTTGACAGAGGGTTTCATTATGGAGCCCTGGCTGGCCGAGATCATGAACCTTCTACCTCAGCCTCCTAAATGTGGGGTTAGATTTATGCAGCCCTGTTGGTATAATGTTCTTTTAAAATGTATACACCTTACCCTTGTTCATTCAAATACTGATTTCTCCCCCACACCCAACTCTCTGGTTTCAATCCGGATATTGCATTGTGATACTCATTCTAAGCATCCTGTCTCAACTCTTGTGTAAACAGGACAAAATAAAGCAACTAGACCCAACGTTGAGCGGGGAGGAGCCAGAGGACAGGAAAGAGGGGAGGAGCTAGAGGACAGGAAATGAGTGGGAGGAGAAGGGGCAGAGGAGAGCTAGGAGAGCAGAGCTGGAGGAGAGATCTTGGAGGATGTGGAGAAATGGACTGGACCTAAGATTTCACAAAAAGCAAGTATAATGTGGGAAATCTAAATGTTAGGAAACTGAGGGCTTGGAGGTTTAGGAGGGAGCAAATATTGGCCAGCCTTATGTTCTAGGTTAACTAAAAACCCAGTCTCTGTGTGGTGATTTGGCTATACGGCTGCTGAGGATTAACAGCAGCGTTACAAGAAGATAAACCAATAGTAAGTATTAATCACCGCCTACAACACAGCCCCTTACCTGGCTGTTGTTTGTCACTGTAAGCAACACTACACTGGGAAATCTTTAAAACATTCAGTTACATCCTTCCATCTGTTCAGCGGGCAAGTATTTCACACAGACTTCCTGTGAGCTTGGCGTGCCCGTTAGTTCTGAGTATCAGTTTGTCACCACCTAGGATTCCCTGTGACGGGAACTGCACAGATCGCATCAGCTTCTGGGCAAGTCTGTGGAGGGTTGCCTTGACTGTTGGGTGGGAAGAATAACTATGGTTCACACAGAAGATAAGCAGAGAAAGCTGTGACCCCCCCCCCCCCGCTGAACTCATGTGGGCCCCCACACAACCCCACCAGATCTGCTCTAGCCTTCAGCCACACCAGCTTCTCCTGCCAAGCAGGCCCTAGCTGTCAAAGCATTATGCACCAGGCTGGGCTTCTCAGCAAAGTGGGCCTTGCTCCAAGATGAGCCCTGGGCAGCTGCCCATCAATTTCCTCCTTGGCGCTGGTCAGATGTCTCCTCCCTACCCCAATACCTTCTGATCATAACCAGGCCTCTCTGCTTATTTTATTGCTGTTCACAGGCTTTTCTGTATACTGATAAAACTCTGTCTTATCAATCATGACCTATCCACTATCTGACTTCTTGTCCCCCTACCCCCCTGTAATGCTGGACTGCACCCTGGAACTGTGAACCAGATAAACCCTTTTCTCTTCTGAGTCACTCCCCATCAGGGTCTTCTATGACAGCGACAGACATGAAGCTAGAACCTTGGGCGTTGTTTCCAGCCACAGGGATTCTGTGTACGCAGCAAGAGCAAACAAGATCTTGGCCTTTAGGAGTCTGGACTTTTGGAATTGTGTTCATGTCTTAGTTAGGGTTTCTATTGCTGTAGCAAAACGGTATGACCAGCCAAACATGGTGGCACATGCCTTTAATCTCAGCCACCAGGACGCAGAGGCAGGCAGATTTCTGTGAGTAGAGGCCAGCCTGGTCTACAAAGTGAGTTCCAGGACAGCCAGAGCTGCATAGTAAGATCCTGTCTTGAAAGTAACAATTACAGAAAAAAAAAAAATCAAACAAACAATGCCCCCCTCCCAAAAATATTGTGACCAAAAACAAGTTGGTGAAGAAAGGGTTTATTTCATTTTACAGCTTGAAGCATATTATCCAGGGAAGTTAGGGCAGGAAGTAGGAAAACTTGCCAAAACACAAACACCCACAAAACACAAACAATACACAAACAATTTTGGGTAATCTAGATTTTAAAAAGCTATTATGAACAAGGAAACACTTTACTCAGTTTGCTCTCTCTCTCTCTCTCTGAAGCTGGGTACTGAACTCAGCAAGCATTCTACCGCTGGACTATAGTCCCTGCCCATAACTCTTTGTTTACTAAGAAAGATTGAGCAAGAAGGATTCTGCCAAGGTTTGTTGGATTTAAAAGTGCTCTTCTCGTTAATGTTAAAGCCAGGAGAGAGAGCAGCAGGTTCCATGGAGAGAAGGTCCTAGCAGCCCTACTTCTCTGGATCTTCAGAGAAGAGAAAGGGCCACGCTGTTTTCCTGGGAGGTGCTGTTCATGTTTGACTCCTGAGATCCATTTTGTATATAGTTGGTAAGTTATAATTGGGAAAAATTACGTTTTCTGATGTTTCCCCCCCTGGAGATGGAATCTCATGTAGCCCACACTGGCCTGGAACTAGCTTTGAAGCCATGGATGACTTTAACCTTCTGCTCCTCTGCCTCGCCTCCTGGTACCACTAGGCCTTGTTCTGTGTAGTGTTGCTGGGGATGAAACCCAGGGCCTCAGACTCGCTGGGAAAGCTCGCTACCGACTGACTCCCAGCCCCAGAGTTTACCGTGTCTTTGGGGGGCTGAGCTAAGTGGATCAGGGGACTGAGAAAAGGCGTGTTGCTGAGCTGTAGTCAGCTTCACTAGGTGCAGATGGGTTGCAAGCCAGAAATACCTTGGAACTCTTGCGTATCCAGCGGTCTGGCGGAGACTCCTAAAGCCCGTTTCCACTGTCCTAGCAGTAATGATTCAAGGATGAACAAACAGAAATGCATTTCCATTGTCAAAATGTGGGTCTGCCTTTGTTTGTTTGTTTGAGATAGGGACTTACTACCTAGCCCCGGCTGGTCTGTACCTCACCATGTAGACCAGGCTGGCCTTAGGATCAGAGATCTACCTGCCTCTGCTGTGAGAGTTCCGGGTTTGGAGGTGTGTGCCCCCCACCCCAGCCCCCAGCCTGTAGGTTTGTTTTGACTTCTCTTCCTATTCTGCAGCACCATGAGGCTTGTCACAGTCCTTGTCTTCTGCTCTTTGTTCCTGGGAGTCAGTGGTGATGGCTGGTATTCATTCTTCAGGGAAGCTGTACAAGGTAATAAGTCAGGAGGGCGGCACCCAATTAACTGGCTTCCTCGGGGCAGACGCCGCACACCTGTCAGGGGCAGGGGCCCCTTAAAAAGCTACAGATGAGTCAGGACAGGAATTTGGCTCTTTGTGGCCTTCCATTTCTACACTTGGCATTCTTTGAGGACTCACTCTTCAGAGACAGTTCACAAGGCCTGGCCTGTATGTATACCGAGGCAGAGGGGTCAGGATTTCCAGAAAGCGTGCTCCCGCAGAGGGTATCGCAGCAGATGCCCCAGGCTTAGAGTGTAAGGGAACTCTCTGCATGTCTCCGGAGGGACGTGAGCTTAGTAAATGTGCACATTCCCACAGCTAATCCTGTGTCAGACAAACAGCCAAGAGTAAGGATGCAGAACTCCTAGAAATTTAGCACTGCTCAGACAATCGGGATCCTTTAGTTTGGGGCCATTACCAGGAGCTCTTAAAATGAACATCATGGGGCTGGAAAGGTGGACCAGTGGTTAAGAGACCTGTCTGCTCTGCCAGAGGTCCTGAGTTCAATTCCCAGCACCCACATGGTGGCTCACAGCCACCTATACCGGGGTCTGATGCCCTCTTCTGACATGCAGGTGTATTTGCAGTCATATATGTAAAGTATACAGTATAATTAATGTGCACATACACATAAAATAAATCAGTAAATCTTTAAAAACAATGAACACCTTGTACGTGTGTTTTGGTGATTATTCACTTCTCTTTGTTAGGGACATACACACTTGTTTCACTGTGGACGTGCCCCCAGGAGTAGAGACCCAGGGTTGGGAGGGGCGTGCCGTCTAAGCTGTGGTAGACTCCGGCGGGCAGTGTTCCGAGGGTCTACTACTTTACAGTTCTGTAGTTTACAGTGACGGAGTCCCGGCTGCTGCATGGACACCAGCTGTTAAATTTGTTGTCACCCTCCTGGTGACGTCGGTGCGTCTCTCTCCACCCCCACCCCTCAGGGATGGGGAAGGAGTGTGACTTCTGACGTGCCCCTGGGGCGTTTAACACGCAGCACCTCAGCCTGTCTTCTCTGTAGTCCTGTGGGCGGTGGCGGTGTGTGTAGAGCCCCGGCTAAAGGGCGAGTGGGCCAGAGGCGCAGCAGCCAGTGGCCATTAGTCTTCTCTGCCAGCTCGGCTGCGTCTAGACCCATGGAGGAGGCTCGGCTCTGGGTGTGTCCGTGAGGCCGTCCCGGACAGTCTACAGGAAGAAAGACCCATCTTATAAATATACCTGGCACCATTCCCTGGCCTGGGGTGTCTAGGCGGGAATAATCACACTGTGACCATCCACTCATCTTGTGTGCTCCCCTCAAACTGTAAGCCAAAACAGCCCTCATCCCTAAGCTGCTTGTCAGGGATTTTGTAGGGCCCATGGGAAGTGTGCATTTTCTACCTCCCCTCCCTGCACAGCCGTCCCTGGGTCTTACCCCTCGGGTGCCATGGTCCATTGTGATCTCCCTTACTGGAAAGTCCAGTACATAGCACACACAGATCCATATAAGAAGCAGCCCCAGCTAGTCCTCGGAGAGGGCCCTCCCTCCGCTCTCCAGGGAAGGATCATTCGCCACCACGTATCATTTTAAAGGACTCTCCTCTCCAGGTCGGAGCTGTGGGAATCCACAGGGAGTTTTCATCATTTCTCCAATGTAGCCCTGGATTCACGTTTGTAGCTTTCCTTCCTTTGCAGGGACTTGGGACTTGTGGAGAGCCTATCGGGACAAGCTAGAAGCCAATTACCAAGATTCAGACAGATACTTCTATGCTCGTGGGAACTTCGAGGCCCAACAGAGAGGAGCTGGGGGCATCTGGGCTGCTAAGATAATCAGGTAATGGTGCTGGTGTCTCACGTCTCTCACTCTTCCTGACTGTGGCCTCTCTTATGCCCCGGCTTCCAGGGTGTGGGTGGCCTGTAGGCAAGAGAGGGACGCAGGGATGGACGGCGACCATGGGTGTCCCCTCACATCAACAAAAAGTGAAAAAAAAGACTGGGGTCTCCAAGGCATCTTGTCACAAAGAGGACCAGCTGGCTGAGGCCTTTGCTCAGGAGATTAATATTTCCCCTTCTCTGTGCCTTAGCATTTGCTCCTCCAGTATTTTCTGGGTGATTCCTTGGTAGGAAAGGGCAGCTGTCTCAGTGTGTAATCCATCTCCTGTCTCTCTTCATTGGATTTCAGCACCAGCAGGAAATACTTCCAGGCCCTCCTAAACCGGTACTATTTTGGAATCAGGAATTATGGATTGGAAAGCCTGCAGTCTACCCAGAAAGCAGAGGAATGGGGCCGCAGTGGCAAAAACCCAAATCACTTCAGACCCAAGGGTCTTCCTGAGAAGTTCTGAGCCTGTTACTGAGGTTGCACTCAGGGACTAGGCTGGGAACCACATCCCTCTCCCCTTGATGGGGTGTTCCTGGGCTCAGTGTCCACACGAAGGCCAGAGAAGCTAGAGATGCCCAGCAAATACTTTGAAGATTGAATTTATTGATGGAAACAGAGAACCCTGAGAAATACTTTCTGGGAAGAATAACTATGGTTCACACAGAAGATAAGCAGAGAAAGCTGTGACCCCCCCCAGGCTGAACCCATGTGGGCCCCCACACAACCCCACCAGATCTGCTCTAGCCTTCAGCCACACCAGCTTCTCCTGCCAAGCAAGCTCAAGCTGGCAAAGCATTATGCACCAGGCTGGGCTTCTCAGCAAAGTGGGCCTTGCTCCAAGATGAGCCCTGGGCAGCTGCCCATCAATTTCCTCCTTGGCGCTGGTCAGATGTCTCCTCCCTACCCCAATACCTTCTGATCATAACCAGGCCTCTCTGCTTATTTTATTGCTGTTCACAGGCTTTTCTGTATACTGATAAAACTCTGTCTTATCAGTCATGACCTATCCACTATGTGACTTCTTGTCCCCCTACCCCTTTTCAAAGAGAACACCATTTTGAGAAGGCCTCATCCTAACCTTAGGAATCCTAACCTGGAAACTGCACGGGGACCAGGGATAGAGCTCAGTTGGCGGGTGCTTGCTTAGCATGCATAAATCGCTAGGTGGATCCCAGAACTGTAAAACCCGGTAACAGTACACACTTACAATCCAGCACTGGAGAGGTAGAAGTTCAAGACCAGCCCTGGTTATATAGCAAGACTGAGGCCAGCCTGGGATACATGACACTCTATGTCTCAAAAAAGTACACACACACACACACCGGCACCTATCTTAGCTCAAGCTCTAAGTAGTCTTAGCCTATTTTACCTAAGAAATGCCTATCATATCATTATTTCTTAGTTTGATTCTCCTTGTCTTTTGATGTAAATAAAAGTCCACTTCCTGTTCTAGAAGGGAATGGAGACACCAGCAGGAATGAGTGTATTAATTTACTCACAAAGCAAAGGCGTTCTTTCCAGTAAAGGTCAATCCAGTTAGATCCAGTAGAAACAAGCAGACCCTGATGAACAGGGAGATTCTGGTCATAAGGGAATAACTGCCAGAGCCAGGCCCCTAGATGGAAGTCCACTCCGAAGGAGCAGAACACGTTGCTTGTTCAGGGAAAGAAAGGTGAAGATGGAGTCTGTGGGGCAGAGGACAAGGAACCCGGGAATTTGGTTGTATCACCTCTTGCTACATGCTGCTACTTTTAGAGCAGCATCTGTCGCTATATCGGCCTATCTGTCTACAGGGAAAATGCACACAAAAAAAAGGAAGAAGAGGTCTGTCTGTCTCGCTCGGTATCGTCTTTGTGCCCACGTTACCTATTAAACTTCAGCTCTACAAGCATGAGCTAAAGGAAGAGAACGAGGTCTGTCTGTATTCCCCGGAGGTCAGCACATGTGGAGAAGTATCTGACCGATGTACTAAGTGTGAATGTTTTCTCAAGTGTTAGTCTGCAGAGTGCGGCAGTGAGTCACTTTGACATGACTCTGGAAACTTGTGCCCAATTTGATGCTCAAATGCCAGCCAAATGTAAAGTCCTACTGTGAGGCAGAAAAGATTTACTTTTCTCAGCAATGCTTTGCAACTCTCACAGAAGTAAAAATTATGAAGTACATAGATAGACTATGAAAAGCCTTGGGAGAAATTAATGCATGTTTTGACTCCAAGTGCGGTGGCCCATGCCTATAGCTTCGGCGCTCAGGATGCAGCGACAGGAGAGCCACTGCAAGCTTGAGTCCAGCCAGGCTGTCTAGCTGCATAGCTACATAGCTGTCTGTGTCAATCTGTCTCCGTCCCAGTCTCTCTCTCGCACACACGCTAAAGTTCTGTTTTTCTCGTGGGGCAGCTCAGCAGAAAACACGCTATGTGAAGGCACAGTGTATTCCTTTAAAGGGTGAAGCACAGCGTGACTGACACACAGTATACACACACACAGCACACACGCACTGCCAAGAAAGACAAGGTTGTGATTAAAGGAAGACAATGGTTTCATATCATTCACTTCCTTTATACATATATATTTTATCAACAATACTTTTAATAATTAAATTACTCTTTTATTCTTTCAAAATAAGATTAGCAAATAAGCTTTTATGATTCTTTTCATGTTTCTGTTGCTATCAATACTTCAAGAAACATAATTTACACATTTTTATATTTTGTGTTATTTATTTTGAGAGAATTCTGTTTTTCTTTATATATATATATATATTAAGGATTTATTTATTATTTATAAAACATCCTGTTTGCCCGTGTTCCTTCGCACCAGAAGAGGACACCAGATCTCACTAGATGGTTGTGAGCCACCATGTGGCTGCTGGGAGTTGGACTCAGGACCTTTTGAAGAGCAGCCAGCCCTCTTAACCTCTGAGCCATCTCTCCAGCCCCACATACTTTACATTATACTCAGTGAAAAACTTCTAGATGAGGGTTTCTGTCTTAATCATTTTGTGTATGTTTAAGAAGAAAGCACAAGAAAGTAAATATATTTATTTCCACCGGAAGCAAGTTTCATCAACACTGTCTGGTTATTAGTAGGTTCAAGCCGCATCCTACTTTAGGAATTCGTAATCAGTAAATGTGTGTTTGAGGTGTGACAAAGCATGACATTTAAACTTAAACTTCATTACGGTTACCGAGAAGAAACGGACTTTCCGTTCTGGTGACGTGTACTTGTGATTGCACTTGATCCAGCACAGACATGCCTCGGGGTCAGGGGCCAGGAAGGTGGCTCAGCCTGTGAAGTGCTTTCTGCACAGGCCTACTGACGTGACTGTGAACCCACAGCACCACAGAAGCGCTGGGCGTATGGCACGCGCCGCTAGCCCTGGTGCTGGGAGGGGAGACGGACGTGGGCAGACCGCTGGCGCTTGGAGGCCAAATGTGTGAGCTTCAGGTGCAGAGATTCTCTGCTTTAAACACATTACAGTGAGGTGAACCAGCGGAGGACAGCAAATACCAGTGTTTGTCTCCCTCCCGCGCGTGCACACGAGTCCCTGCACTCGTGCAGGCGTGCGTGCGTGCGTGCGAGCACACGCACATACACGGACCCATCTTAAAATAATAACTAAAATAAAGTCTAGGGTACTGGGGATGTGCCTTAGTGGTAGAGTGCCTGCCAATATGTGTGAAGCCCTGGGTTCAATTCCTAGCTCTGCACACACTGGGTTTAGTGTCTCCTTGGAGGTGGAGGAGGGAGGATCAGAAGTTCAAAGTTATGCTTGGCTACATAGTGAGCTGTGGACCAACCAGCCCCGATAGACGAGACACTGTCTCGGAAACGAAATGTTGCACTTAATGGATGGAGCCAGAAACAACCGTCCTAAGTAAGGTAACCCTGGAATCAAAGGACGAACGTCACATGCCTTAGCTCAAACGTCACCTGCCTTATCTGTGTCTGTCAGCTTTGAGTTTGTACATTCCTGTTTCACTCAGAATTCCCACACAGGGCAGGAGTCAGTAAGGAGCAGCGGGAGAGGGGAGAGTCAGTTTTCTCTGAGAGTATGGCCCTGGTAGGTGGACCACACTCCTGTGGAAGACCACGCAGCCAGGATTTGGGTGTCACAAATCAGGCCTGGTGAG